AAAAAAAAAGGTTTGTTATAATAAACTCTCATTTTTGTAACAGATTTTATAGTGCAATTAAATACATAATGTGCTATTATGAGTGTGCAGGAATCTATTTTCTTACATTAATAAGCAAACTCAAAACTGGAACCCTGGGTCATTTCGTGAATGGTGGTGCCAGCTTTGCAAGGTCCTACCTCTCCCACTGGGAAATACCACAAGCTTTGAGAAGGTAACGGGACTCCTTGCTCAAACTCACACTTATCCAACTGGGCCACCCAGGCACCCCTACTATGCATATTTAAAATTGAGGTCTAAATAGCAAATGGTAAACCAAGTAACTTTGTGACTTAAAAGTTCAAGCATTCAATCAGAAAGAACTGGTTTTGAATCCCAGAGCTATACTTGAATTGTAGGTACACTGGGAACATTACTTAAATGTTCCTGGCCTCAGTTTTCTTACCTAAAGGGAGCGTGGTTAGGAGTTCTAAAGAAATACAGATAAATAATAATAGCCAGACATTTATCAGTAGTTTAGCATGGATGGTCTCACTGCTAGCGCAATCCACACCTTTGGGTAAATTAGGAAAAGATGTTCTTTCCTGGTGATACAGGCTGTTGAGCTAGAAAAAGTAGTGTTTTCCTCTAGGTGGCCTCAGCTCCAGGCGCAGAACTTGCATACTGAGCCCCCTCTCAGCTTCTTGGGACATACCTCTGTGCATGACACAATCTGCACAAATCTTTTCAAACCCCTTGACCCTCCAACAATCCTGTGCTGTTGGTCGCATCACGTAGATCTCACCCTATTTTAAAAATGAGGCAAGGGGGCATAGAAAAGTTAGATAATTTGCCAGATTCACACAGCTCATAAATCAGGGTTGTGAATCAGGCAGTCTAGCCCCGCAGTCCATGCCTTCACCCTGATGTCTATGCTACCTCCATATATGTCTCAAATGTAGTATTTTTTCTAAAGTGAAATATTTAATGAATAAATAAAGGGACTGATGAATATACACATTATTCGGGTTTTCCTTGTTATAATTATTAGCGTTGATCTGTTATTGATTAGCACTGCTACTATATGCAAGGGTTTGTGCCTTGAGAGTTTGTTTTTCTGAGCAGCTTGTGAATTTTCTATTACTCTACAATTAGACATGGGATTAATATTGGGACATCTATCTCATATTTTCAAACCACATGCAGCCTTAGTTATTTTATCTAGTTCTTTCATTTTTCCAAATAAAGCAAAGCCCAAATGAATTTTTCCCAATTACAAAAAGTGTAACTTCAGTCAAATTGTCAGGCATGTTATATTACCAGTAATATGTTACCACAGTGAAAGAAACAATCCCGCCTGAAAGGTGTGTGCAGCCATCCACCTGTATGCCAAGTGCCTAGCACAGAAAGCTGTTATAAAATCTAGTGAGAACATCAGCTGGGTTTCCACCCTGGACCCCTTTATATAATACTACCTCTTTTTTAACATTAATGTAATAGATATTACCTTCCTCAGGAAGAAGAGTTATAAAAACAAAACTATAAAATAATGAAAAATAGCAGTTAAGGAGTAATGGCTACGATAGATGTGTAATTTATTAGATGACTAGTAATAAGATTAATGTGTTCCTTTCTTGCCCAATAGATACTTAAAGTAATTGCATCTCTGAAAACTGCTCTGTCATCACTTTATGCTTTTGATGATGTCATGCAATAGTACCACAGGCTGAGATATGCTCAGCAGATTTTTTTTGTATCTCCTTTGCTATCATAATAATCTATGGACTACTGGTCACCACCCAAGCACTTGCATAATTCTGTGGCATCTGCACAATAAAAGAAATATGTCTAAATCACCCAGTCTCCAATGTAAAATGCATGCCAATTTTAATGAGTTCAAATTAATACCTATTACATTTTTCTGCAGAAATTTGGAGGTACCATGAAATACACTTAGTGCCATTTTGCTGCATCAACAAATTGGGGATCACCGCTATGTGTACTAAAAAGAAAAAGCAAGAATTAAAAAAAATTCATTACTTTAAAACACTTAAAATGTTTAAAAGTATCCACATGCTCTTTAGACATATCTTCCCATCTTAGAAACCTGAGTTTTCAACACTTCTTTTTCATATGTATCCATGTCCCCATAAGTAAAATCCTCTTATCTTTGTCCTAAAGATGTCATTATCTACCAGTAAAGTCACAGAATTAAATGATTGTACTTCCTACAAATATTCTCTACACATCTGTGTTCAGCAACAAATCAGTACAAATCTAAGATCCTAAAAGTAGTTCACAACTTTGACTCATACATTCATTAAGTCTTGCATTAAATACTCTTTAATTCATGAAATTACTCTCGCAGTTATCTATTTTTATTACATATTTGTGCATCAGAATAAGCATGACCACTAACCTATAAAAACACTTAACTATTACTGCTTGATGCTATTAACCCTTATGGGACAGATTATGATTATGAAGTTTGAAATGTAATTTCTTATTAAAATACTTTAACTTCATTTATAAATAATGCTTTCTATTTTTAAAACAGTGATGTATTTAAAAGTATTGGAGAGTATCTTATTGAATATTTTAAAGTGCTAAAACGAAAATTTTTATAGAGGATTATTTTGCAAGTTCCTGTCTTTTTTCTGGTGAAAGTAATTATTTTGGCACACTATATAGAAATTACTAATAGCTGTACTGATATTTAGCAAATAGAATATAAGTATTTTCCTAATAATGGCCCCTGAAAGCTTCTTGCATTGGGCAGACACTCGATTGGAATTTTGGTAAATAGCCCCCAGTGGCAGGAAAAAGTTGATGCATACCTCAAAACTTAACACTAATCAGGCAGACAGTAGACCTACAACTTTCAACATGTCATGTTTTAGACTGTCTGCACTCATGCTATTATGGCAAAAATATATTTTTAAAAATTTGTCTTCAAAGGATAAAGTCACAAGTTTATAATGATCAAATTTTAATGTGATTTTTAGGGCCAAAGGCAATTAAAATAGTCATAAGAAAAACATAACTAATTGTTTTGATATCAAGTAAACATTATCATTTATGTTAAATCAAATAAATCATGTTCAGTTAATTAGAAATTTTCCAGATGTCACCTACAATATGCTTATAAATATTTAATAGGAAAACACAGCAAAAGGTTTGCAACAATTTATGCGATAATACAACACAAAATAAACTTCTCATCAATAATCTTTTAAGTTCTGTTTTTACTTTATATATTTCTTTTCCGCAAAGTTTATGGCATGTAAATAAGAATATGCCAAATGGATACTATTTAAGTCAATGGAGTGTTTCTATGTGTTTAAAAAACACCATATGCTAAAAGCCTGGTCTGTGCTGTTCATTTATTTGTAAGAGTAATTCTCATAAACACAAAGTCTGCCAAATATGTAATTTACACACTCAGGTCTATATAATACACTTTTTCTTCAAAGCCAAATTAAGGGGGAAAGGATCTAATGTTATGGCTCCTGTGACATCCTTACCTGATACTGTAAAGTTTTCATTTTATAAAGACTCTGATTTTCTCCTCCCCCACCCCCCATATAAGCAGCATGTATGTCCAAATGATAGTTCACAGTGTATTTAATTCCAGTGTCTCCAGAGGGCCAAAAGTTAGTGGAGAATGATTGATAACTAGACATTTAAGAATTATATTCTTAAGATGCAGAACATCACATATTGCTGAGGGGAAGATCAGCAACAATTAAGCTTAATATGTCAGTTTCTAAAGGTCTGGCTTCACTACTGATTAAGTACATGTCATTTGTCATCTATCTCTACCTCTAGTGACACCTGTTATACAGATGCACAGAATGTGAAAGGGAATTTGTGCTTTTTACATTTAAAAAAAAACAAAAACTTCCACACTTAAAGCACATGCTCACCTACATTCAACAAATATTTACAGAAACACTTTATTTTTTTTTTTCTGCCTCGACACTGTTTTCCAGAGTGGCTGCACCAGTTTGCATTCCCACCAACAGTGCAAGAGGGTTCCCGTTTTTACAGAAACACTTTAATCAGCATCTCAAGAAATTTCAATAAGGATGGTTATGCTCAAGTTTCCTGCAAGGCCCGACTCATTCATCCTAAGCTTTAGAGACTCTTCGTGTTTTAAGAGTCCTTGCCCAAAAGTAAGGAAGGGTGAATACGATATAAATTACTCAACAACAGAACAGAAGTCGAAGAAAAATTAAAATCAGAGCGAATGCTGGGAAGCTTGCCAATTCTGACCCATTTCCCTGACACTGACCCAATCCACCTAAATGGGCACCTACTGTGTGCATGGACCTGCGGTCATTACCATGTACACCTCTGCCCAACTCGAGCTGACTTCATTTTCTGAGAAGTCCCTAAGCTGGAATAAGGCGTGCAAAGGAAAGGAGTCTACAAGGATCGGTCAGTCCCCCGTTCTTCGTCAGCGTTCCCTGAGAACAAAGGCTGTGCGCCCGGGAGTCTGTGAGCGCCCCACAGCTAGCAGGTCTGGGCTGGGAAATCATCCGAGTGAACACCGTGCGCGTACTGAAGTCGAGCCAGACCAACAGGGGGTGACATTTCTGCAGTGGTTCTTACGGCTTTGGGTTTCCTCTGCCTGCTCCATGGTACCCCACCCCTTTTTGCAGGTGCCAAGCCCTGCCCGGTGGCCAACTCCCTTACAAAGAAGGTGGAAATTACTCCTGGAAAACGCTGTAGTGCTCATGATAAAGCAGAGCTCGCTTCACAGCTACGGAACCAGGCACTTCCAAAAAATTGAAACTTTTCTCTGTGCGTGTTTTGTGGGGGAGGGGAAGAAAGCGGAATACAATCTTTTCCCCCCACCCCCACGCCCCCTGCTCATCTCGGCCCCGTACCCTGCACAGGTTTCCAACCTCCAGGAGAGCCTTCATCCCAGGACGGTCGGTCCCGCACCACCCTCGTCCGCGCGCCCCGCGGTCCCCTCTCCCGGCTCATCCGCCCGACGGGCGGCCCCCCTGACTCACCGCTGACCACCCGGCGGCAGAAAACTCCGTGGCCGCAGAGCAGCGCGGCGCCCAGCAGCAGCCAGACCACGCGGCTCATCGCGGAGCGGCGACAGCAGCAGGTGTTGCGCGAAGCGAAGACGGCCTCTGCCCGCCGCGCAGCGGTAGCTCTAACCTCTGAGCCTCCCTGCCTCCCCGCCGGGCCCTACTCCCACCGCCGGAGCCCAGCTGGCCGGCCGCCTGCACTCATTGCCTTCGGCGGGGCCTGCAGCCAGGCGCGCTCGTGCCGCGCGCGGGTGTGATGGGCTAGAGCGCACCACACGGCGGATGCGCGTTGAAGGAGAGGAAGTAGAAGTTAGAGGGTCCCGCGTCCGCCCCAGAGGTGAAGCGGAAGCCCCGGGCTGGACCCCCGGGCTGGACCCCACTCGCGCCCAGTGCTCCTGTCCCCGGCCTCTGGCTAGCGTAGGAATGAGCCCGTGTGCCTAGTCCCGGCTCTCAAGGCGGCGGCGGCAGCAGCAGCGGCGGCGGCGGCGCTGTGCTGGAAGCGCGGTCTTATATACCCACATCCCAGGGTTCCAGCCCCTCTCGCTAGCAATGATTTTTAACTACTTCGTCTCTCCCGCTATGCGGAGCATCCCAGCCCCTCCCCTAAAAACTAGAGCCACTTTGAAAAAGAGTGCAGTCAGCAGCCCCACCTCCTCCCCTCCGCTTCCCCGGGTGCCCTCTTCCCATTCGCTAACAGACCAGATACTCGTTTGTGTGAAATGTGACAGCTTTGCTATTAAACTCTGGCAAAAGTTGGATCCATTTGGTTTTCTCAAAGATTAATGTCCACGGGGATGCCAAGTTGTGGGGCCTTTCTCTTTTTGTGCTAAATTGCTTGATCATATGTATTGCTAGATTCAGGGCACTAGCCACTATTCAAGATGGATTGGCGAAGCGGGAGCCAAAACCTGCTCGGTGAATTATATAACGTGGCAGGTTTTTCCCCACCTAGGTTCTGCAAATAGATTACTTCCAAGCAGGTTGTTTAACTAAATTGCCACAGGAGCAAATTGAAGAGAAGAATATTTAAAGCACGGTTTTCCCAATTGATTTCCATCTCAGTATTTGCAGCTCCAGAGAAAACCATTAACGCAAATATTCTGAATACTTGGGAATTTCTTGGATGTAAATGTATGTATTTCTTTGCACTCATCTCTCCCTGACCTGTGGTTTCTATTAAAAGTAAAGCATTCTAAAACCCACAAAGACATTTTTTTCCCTTACCTGACTTGGTCTTCATTGTTTCAGTCCCGCCAAGGATGCTAGATTGTAACCTGCAGTATTGGAAAGAAGTTCCCAAGAGTTTCATCTATATCGAGGGGCACCTGGGTGACTCAGTTGGTTAAGCACTGGACTCTTGATTTCTGCTCGGGTCATGATCTGGGCAGTTTGTGAGTTCATGCCCACCATTGGGGCTCGGCGCTGACAGTGTGGAGCTTGCTTGGGATTCTGTCTCCCTCTCTCTCTCTGCCCCTCCCTCCCCCACTTGCAGTCTCTCTCTGTCTCTGTCTCTCTCTTTCTCAATAATAACAAACTTTTTAAAAAAAAAAAAAAGGTGTTTCATCTATATCTAGTCCCTGATAGGAACCCTGAGGATACTCTTATAATGAGCTTCGGTAGAATTGGTATTTATTTTCTCATTAGGATGCTTTAAATGCACCAAGATTTGGGGCGCCTGGGTGGCTTGATCGGTTAAGCGTCCGATTCGGCTCAGGTCATGATCTCATGGTCCGTGAGTTCAAGCCCCGTGTCGGGTTCTGTGCTGACAGCTCAGAGCCTGGAGCCTGTTTCAGATTCTCTCTCTGCCCCTCCCCTGTTCATGCTCTGTCTCTGTCTCAAAAATAAATAAACATTAAAAAAAATTAATGCACCAAGATTTGTGAAATAAAATCCTTTGGTTTTAATGGGTGGTGCATTTTCCGGTAACACCTCCCTGTCTTTGGTTTTCATAAGCCACAAGTACACTCTGAACATTTATTGAACGGCTTTCTTGGGAAAAAGAAGGTAAATCTTGCTACAGTAAGAACAAGTCTTGCAGAATAAAAATTTCAGCACTTATAAAGACCTTAAGGATTATTAAATCCACCCTACTCAAGAAAGTGTAATTTCATGATAATCATAATAATGTCTATCACTTTATTTTTCCTTGTATTACCATTGAATTACTAATTTGTCACAGGGCCATGGGCAATTAATAAATCTTACAGAGAGTATGGATCTTGTTTCACTACTAGCTGGATGTCCAAAAGAAGCAGGAACTGCTGGGATTTTGAATGGAAATGGAAAATATAAATCCTCAAAGGCATGGAGATGTATATAGCTCAGCCCTGTAAATCCTGTCATAGTGTCACTAGGTGTGGCTGTGGTCAGAAAGCTGCTCCAGGGACTCAGAGTCCAGTGTGGAGAAAGAAATGTAATAATGACTGGAGTGGAAGTCTGAATGCAGTGTCATGGTTAGCATAGAGGAATGAGGAATTAGGTATTTTCGTAGGCGTTCTCTAGCATTTGTCCAGGTTGAGCATGATAACCCTCAATGGCTGATTGATTACCTGAGTGCCCCACATGCCTACGGAATTAGGATTCTTAACAGGGGCTCGTTTCTCCTTCTGTGCCATCCTATTCCCAGATATTCACGTGGCCCAGGGCTGTCATGGAAAGTTCTCTATTTGGGTAGGAATACCAGTGGATTTCCTACATATCCATACACCCCAATGTCCTAAATGGCTCAGATGCCTAAAAAGTCAGCCAGTCCATGAAGCTACTATTGGCAAGAGGGAGCTCTGTTGTTTTAGTACTCCAGAAAATCCAAATTACAGTAAAAACTGTATCCTCAATATGGTTGCACAGACTTCTAAAATATAATTTGTTATCTTTAGGCTACGATTATATCGGTTCAGAGTGGCTGCACCCATTAACTAAGGCTGCTCAGAAGTTATCCTAGGAGCTGTCTGACTTATCAAGACAACAAATCATTAAAAGGTCTTTTTAGATGTAATGTTTTTAAAGGGATTGGTTAATAATACCAACCTTTTTCTTTGTTTCTCCAACACCAGAAAACATCTGGATGAATCATCATTAAAATAAATTCAGAGAGCACATTTTGGACAGTCATAAATATGGAATTTTAGTGGCACCTGATATTCTCTTCGGAGAGTATGGGAGGGGGGAATCTCTCTGAAATAATGTTTTTATATAGCAAAGTGGGAGATATAAATTTAAAATTTTCAACAAAATTCCATTTTAAAAAACCTGGGGTTTAGGGGATAGCAACAAATATTAATTTTTAAAGAAATGGCTGTTTTTCCCTGTGAGTATGCATAAGTTATCATAAAAGACAAAGGACTTTCTTATAGCAAACACATTTCAGTTCCAGAAATTTAAGAACTGCTTTCCGATCAATCAGGAGATAAGAGTTCCCTTAAGGGCAACCAAGAGAAGCTAGGGTTATGTGAGGAATTTTTGCACATGTGTAGAGTTCAGCCTCCAGATTTCCTGAAACCAAGGTGTGATAACACCACATCAGTGACAATCCTGAGAGGTTGCAAGTTAAGATTCTCTGCCCACTTAAAAAAAAAAAAAAAAAAAAAATCAAACAAGAACTTCAAACTGTTTAAGCTAAAAAGTTCCACGTTGACTCAACAACTTAAAATGTGTCTTTTCAAGCCCCAAAATAGACAGGTAATCTCAATAAGAATGGTCCCAAAGAAATCTCAGGCATGATTCAACCACTGAGTCTCCAGAGGCTCTAAAACATTAATTAAGCAACGTCCCAAGTTTTGAAAAGTGACATCAGGCCTCTTAATAGTGTGCTGTGGAATCTGTCTGTCCCAAATATACAACTTACTCCTTCACTGTCCCTATTTCCTTTCAGATGTTTGCAACTCCCGGTGAGCATCTGTTTCTTATGTCCATTAATAAGCCTCAAGGACAGACAGTCTGAATTCCAGGCACCAATTTGCATTCAGTGGCTTCTCACTTGAGCAGCTCTGTACAGTGGTTTTAGCCACAGCCACAGCAGGGTTCATTCATATGTGTTCTACAGCAAAAAGTGACAAATATGGTTGTCTTAGTTCAGACTTCTGTAATAAAGAATTATAGACGGAGTGACTTACAAACAACAGCACTTTATTTCTTACGGTCATTGAGGCTGGAAATCAGAGATCAGGGTACCAGCATGGTAGGGTTCCATTGAGGACCCTCTTCTGGGTTACAAACTGCCAACTTGCGGTTAGATATTTATATGATGAAAAGGGAACTAAAGAGCTCTCTGTGGGCACAGTCCCAAGCAAGAGGTCTCCACTCTCATGATCTAATTGCCTCCCAAAGGCCCCACCTCCTAATATCATCACACTGGGGGGTTAAATTTCAACATATGAATTTGGGGGGAGCATATAAACATTCAGTCCAGAGCACTGGCCTACAAAAGAGATTTATTAGAATGCTTAAACTTATTATAACTAATATATTTGAAATGGTATTGAAATCCAATATTAACTAATTTATTCATTCTATTACACTTTATTTAATGATGGTTAATAACTCTCTTGACAACTATCAAAATATTGCCACGAGATAATAAAACAAATGTTTGAAAGTCAAAAAATAAAACGACTACAATATAACCATTTTTGCAGTAGGCAAAAACAGTTTATTATTTTCTAAATAATAGTTGTCATTTCCAGGAAGACAGCATTGAATCCAAGGTTTATCCTCCCTATTCTTCAGAAATGACACCTTGACATCTGTGCAGGCATGTAATTGGCTCATTGCAAGAATGAACAGTTGGACCAATTCCCCCATGATTTACTCGTTCTTTTCAAAACACGTCTGTGCGATAGGATACATGACCTACCTCATTCAGGAGCCAGTCCGACTCTTCTTTATAATTCCAGTAGAAGTTTTAGCCTTGACAGTGCTTTTTAAGACAGTGTTAATGTTCATAAGGTTGTTAGAGATTTAATGAAGAATTATATACACTTCAAAAACATGCTTTCCTATCCTTTGAAGTTTAAATTTAGGAACTACTGAGTCTGTTACATGCTCTGACCATTCAGGTGAGCAGTTAAAAATATTCGTAAAGTTCAATTATATCTTATCAGAATTTATGTGAATGTCTAACTAAATATCAACTCAGTAAATTAAATTTTCCTTTTAACGCTTCTTTATGAATTTAAAACAATGCAATTGGGTACCATTGCTATCAATCTAGCATGAACCAATACTTCTCAATTACCGAATCTGGTGTTAATATACATGTATACAAGTAAACAAAAGTGAGATAATTAAACTGAAAAAAAAAAAAAAAGAAAGGATAAACTGTGGTCATCCTTACTTCAAGAGTCTGGCCTGAATTATCTAGGTATGTAGTTGACAAAATCTTCATTGAGTATTGTGCTATGGAAGAATTACTTAGCTAGCAGAATCATAATCTAAATTTTCAGTTAATATAATTTTGGGCACATTTCTTCACTTTTTTAGTTTTTACTTTTAAAATATAAAAAGAATGCAGGGGTGCTTGGATGGCTCAGTTGGTTTAGCGTCCAACTGTTGATTTTGGCTCAAGTCACGATCCCAGGGTAGTGGGATTGAGCC